ATATATATAGATATATATAGAGAGAGAGAGAGAGAGAGAGAGAGATAGAGAGAGTGAGTGAGAGTGTGAAAGAGAGAGGGAGGGGGCAGTTTAAAATGCGCAATGAGCCACTTGAGGTCAGTTTTGCAGAGTTTTCACGCGGCTCGGAGCTAATTGGACGTCACCGCGCTACGTTTTCCCGGGGCTGGAGATCCATCTGGGGTGGAAGGGGACTGGAAGCCGGTTAAATCGGCGGCTAATAATCTCTCGTCGCAAGGGTCGTTAAGTTGATAGAAGCACCGGCACGTATGCGAAGCCACTCGTCCAATTGTTTAGCTGGTTACGTGTTTTCGATGGGCTCGGATGCCCGCGGATTTGACGCGTACGTGAGGAGCGGAAAAGTCGGGCGCTTATCGCGACGACGCCTCGCGCTTTCCCCGCTAATCACCTTTCGCCAAGCACATATCTTTCCTCGGGCTGGAAGGAAATCGCGGGACTTTATTCGCGTCCCAGATTCTTTTTAAATTGCTAGGTAATGAAGAATTTGACGGCCACGGCTCTAACCGCAGACCACTCGCTTCGACAAAATAGGCTTAATAATATTTCCCAACGGTACTCCACGTTTACTTTGCACGCGACATCAAAAAACCATATTTGCTCTCCACCGAAGCCATAATCCACTTGGAACGTTTAGATACTTGCAACTATATTAAAATATACAATAGCTTTGAGATTTTATAGCTTACACAACGCCACTCGCCACTCGCCACTCGTCACTCGCCACTCGCCACTCGCTATGCCAACCGCCTCTTTACACATACGCTTTTCACGAGTGTTTAGCCAATACTATTGGCCGATTGTAATCGCGCAGCCCGTGTTCATTAAAGTCACTTTAAAATTCAATCTACGTTAAGGAATGGCAATGTACTTATATGTATAAAAGTCGTTTAAATTATATTAAGCGCGCGGGGAGGGAGCATGGTATTGAGATAGAACAGAAATTACATTAAGCGTAAAATGTATTGACCTGACGCAACGTCGATATGCAAACGCAAAGGCGCTCTAATTATTTATCAATAAAATGTAGAAGCAATTTGTATACGTCGTAAGAGTATGTTGCTCGCAGTGACGTGCGTGCGATTTGATTTCAGTCGGGCGGGCGATTTTGCCTAGTGCCATTCATCGGTTATGCCAACAACCGCGAATCCAATCGCGTTTAATTATGCGGAAAACAAAGGCCACGATTATACCGACGTATTTATGTCGTTATGACGCTAAACGAAGAAGAGACGCTAAAGGAAGCCGCGGTGGGATTAAAAGGTAAAAATCGCGATGCTATTGTGAAAGAATAAGAGTTTCGCGGCTCGTCCCTTGCCAGTGCACCTTATTTATTCTTATCTCGCGCACGTAAACTCGCACACGGGCAAGTGCAGCGACGAGGTTGGAGACGCTCGTCCGGGTCCGTGACAACCGGGAGATTCTTCGTAACTGGTGTAAGACTCGCGCGTGTCTGGCACCGACGAAGAAAGCCGTGTGTGGGCCAACAAAAACGTCACTGCCTCAAACTTGAGCGCTTTCTCTCATCCCCCCCCCACCCCCTACCGCGCCACCGCCGTCCATCCCTCACTCTCTCTCTCTCTCTCTCTCTCTCTCTCTCTCTCTCTCTCTCTGTCCTTTGTCACGCGCGCACACACACACTCGTCTTTTCTCTCACTCTCTTTCGCTACCGCGCTGTCGATGGTGAGGAGCGCGAAAACTGTATAAGCGTTGTCGCGCTCATTCATATGCGTAGTCGCATTTCTGTTTCAGCTGTTTCACCTAAAATCCCTAGAGGAGTGGATTCCCATGTTCGACGCGTAAGATGAAAAAATATCTCAAAGTCAAAATGCCGAGATGAAACGAGTCAATCGCGATGGAGACTTAACCTTGTCAATCGTCCATTCGAAAATAGGCAAAATAAATTTTCATTTACTTATTTCTTCAAGATTTGATCGAGCCGAAATCATAATCCATCTCTGTTCTATCAACGGCATAATCAAGTTGTATAATTATTACGTATAAATAATAAAATCATTCATTAATGGATGGATGGTCTGAAATAATTATTCTTATTAAAAAACAAAAAGATATTATAAAAGAAAATATTTTGTAAAATCTCGCGAGTGAAGATAAAATGCAATTTAAAAAAAACTAATATATATATATATATATATATTTTAACAATTTACAAGTGATTATATTTATCACTTGTAGGAATTTTAATCACACACAATGAATACGTGATATGCGTTTTAAATTTTATTTGAAATAATTTAATATATTTCCGAATTATATTACTTGAAAACTAAAAAATTAAATTTTGAAATCTGAAAATTCGATAAGATAAAAATGATCGTATCAATTGTATTTATTACAATTCTAAAATGACACTGACACTCGAAGCTTTCTTTTTCCCATAATTCACTCAATGTTAATGTAGTAAAATCTTAATGATGCTTCATGAAAAGTATAATAAAATATTACAACAGTACATACAATCAAATAATAACAACACTTTTTTCATATAACAATATATTTTATTTACATTAAATTAATATTGCTTTTATTAACATTAATTTAATATTAGTTGAAATTGGCGGAAATAAAATTGTCAATAATTAGCTAAAGTAACAAGCTCAGATTAAATATGTAATACTTCAAAATGTTCAATATTCTTCAAGTGTTTTAAACGACAATTCCATTGTAAAATATTATAATTTAATTTCGTTATTTAAAATGATTATGGTATTTAAATACCATATTTTTCAATGAAATCTTACTTTATAAGATAAGTATTATTAAATATGTAAAGTTCTTTTAATTAATAATTTAAATAATTCATTATTTTCGAATAATCACTAGAATTTGAACTTTAAATATTACGAATATCAATCTATTCGATTGATAATTAAATGAATTATGTCGTTTTATAGGCATTAACAATAATTGTTTATATGAAGTTTTTTTTGAAAACAAACGTATTAATTCATTTTGCTTGTGATTATAGTAAATTCATTATTTATGCCACCACGATTGTTCATCGTATAATTATTTAATGTCATAATTAAGTATACAAATTTATTAAATAAGTAAAACAATATCTTCCATATTATGGTAATATTTATTTACTGAACAGACAAATGGTAGGTAAATAATAATAAATTATACTTTCATGTTAATTCTATTAATGATTTCTCATCCGATTATTTCGACTTTTTTATTATTGTCAATAACCTTGCTATTTATTATACTATTTACGAATAATGTTAATGTTATGAAATCTTATTGCATGGAATAATCTATATAATTTTTTTTCGACAATTTTGTAAACAACGCCTACGTACATCTTTGCGGTTTTTATTATCTAAATCATTATAGTTACATTGTAAATTTATTTTACGGTTCTGTATTTCTACAGAATTGCCGATTTTAAAACAGAACAACATACAAAATTATATCGTATCAAAAACATTCGTCTTAATTTTATAAATTTTACTAATTAATTTACTTATTCATACTTATTATTCTAAAAAAAAAAAATAGAGATAAAATATAAAAATACAAATAGGTAAGAAATTATATAAAAATGAATGATATTTATGATAACTAGAATAATATATAATTTATATAGATATACAATAAAAAAAATTTAGTACAATTTTCAATAGTTAAGCTTACATAATGGTTTTATCTAAATTTAATCATAATAAAGTATTTATACCATTATTTGGTTATTATTATTACCATTTCAGGCCAAATCCGGCCTTAACTAAATAGAAAATTATGATGGAAGAATGAAATAAGGTTTTTAAATGATGGATTATTTATTTTGAATAGTAAATAAATCGGTTAAATTCCATATATTAATAATGAAAATATGATCTTCAATGGAAAATAGAATACTTTGAAAATTTTATAAAGTAAAATCCTATATTTTCACATATTGGAAAACCTTATTGGCGTTTACCCAGATAGATCAAATTAAGTAAAGGAATATAGATATGAATATAATTTGACAATAATTTATCCCTTTATTTTAATTAACGACGTATATGTGTAATCGTTGCTCATGAATGCATTGGATATAAAAAGCTAAAGCTTACACACTAACACAGGTTTGAGAGGTCCTGTTTATTTGAATTAAATGTTGGTTACATTTGTTATATGTTGGGCAAATAAAAAGAATTTACGTCAGAATACTAAAAACTAAAATCAGTATGACAAATTAATAGATATACTTTATCATTGAATGAAATATATAAAAGATTTTGTAACTTAAATAAATTATAAAATAGTTTAGAAAGAAACCAAAATAAGAAAAAAAAACATTTACAGGTAGAATAATCGGTGCTTATCAGTAGTAATTACGTCCATGAATTTTTTCATTAAAAATATAAACATGTAATAATATAATATATGTAATATATTTTATATGTTTCGTATGATTTGTGAAATTATTTAAAAAACATTAAATTTATTACTGCGTATCAATTTCAATTTCATTAATTGCTTGATGTGTTTATTATTCCATGCAGACAAAGTCTTAATTATGCAAATAATTTTTTTTTTTTTTTTTTTTTTATCAAATTAACCATAAATTGCCTAATATAATCTAATTCAATTTGTATTGTTCGTACAATTGTTTACACTATAAATAGTAGAATATTATTTATTAATTACATATTAATAAATATTTCGATTCTTTTGACGCTTTATGGTTCTATTATGTATTATTTAAATGTCAAGTGTTTATTAGATTCCATAATTTTGCAGCTAGAAGACATATATATTAAGAAAAAGAGAACATATCAATATTGAAGTTTTATTTATAATTTATTATTTGTAATTTACATATAGAGAAATAAATGTACATATTTTCCGTTCACAATTACAACTACATAACAATCTCCACGTAACTATCCTTAACTTATTGCCGCATCATCAAATACATTGTTAATAAATGCGCGTTCAATCTGTTGTTGCGAACACGACTATTGTTTACGTCATTTATCCAAAGCACCATTAATCATTGCTACGCGAGTTCATTTGGAGACAACATCACTTTACTTCTTAAAATCTCGAATGTATGTTCAATATCATAACTAGCGTCGCCGTGTATATGCGCCTATGCCAGCAAAATTGCAATTAATCATTGTCTGCTAACAGACAACCCGTAATAGCTTCTTGGTGCACGAGCCTCCTCCATCTTCTTTTGTCCTCCTCGTGTTTTCTTCGTTACCCAGCGAGCCGCGTTCTCATAGAAATGTAGGAAAATGGCCAAATAGCGGATCTCGCATGGAGAATAATTATCATAATCGTAACATCTCGCTAATTAATTTTTCATCAATTGATGTTTGTCGCGAGCGCGCTCTCTTGATAAAAACGGTCGAGCATGAGCGAGTGAGAGAGGAGCTGAGCAGAGGAGCTGAAGCCGAACTTACGAAATAGACGGGCTGATAGTTTTTGTGCGTGTGCCCGCGCATGTGTGTGCGAGAGAGGGAGAGAGAGTGTGTGCGTGTGCGTGTGCGTGTGCGTGTGCGTGTGCGTGTGCGTGTGCGTGTGCGTGTGCGTGTGCGTGTGCGTGTGCGTGTGCGTGTGCGTGTGCGTGTGCGTGTGCGTGTGCGTGTGCGTGTGCGTGTGCGTAGTGTGTGAGCGAGCGAGTGAGCGAGTGCGAGGGTGGGAGGAATTGGGTGGAACGGAGGGGGAGTACGGGTGGGCGGGAGGGATAGGAAGGAGCTATTACTTCACTCGGAGAAAGTGCGGCTATACGTAAGCGTACACGAGCGTCAAATGTAATGTACCTTCGACGCGCTTTGATTTTTATGTCGTTTGCTTGGACAATCGGACACGATAACTCACGTCGCGCTTAAAACACGAAGATATTTATAAACAGTAAGCTAGGGAGGTATTACTTTATCTTGTCAACTTAGGAATTAATTACTTTGCGCAGACGTCGTCTTTGTACAAGCTCTTTTACGCGCGTTTTCAATAAATTCTCGGCTACCGCGGGTTTTGTCAAAGTGTCCAATGAAATTGAGTACACGCGATATAATGAAAGAGCAAGCGGCCATGTTTTTTTTTCCTCTTTTTTTCTCTCCATTTTACCACGGGAAAACTTATTCGAGGACTGAGCAGCCGGTTATGTGCTGTTCGCGCGATATTATTTACAGAGCACTTAAGCCGCCTCCTAAATTGACGAACGTGAAATTACATGAACGTTAGTAGAGTTTTATCTTTGATTGAGAGCTCGGGATGTGCAATCAATCCGATAAAGGGATCGTGCACTCTCTTCCGCGTTTCGCCAACTGATGACAAAGTCGTGGGCTGCCGACAATGTCACCCAAGAACACGCTGAGTAAATAGTTCTCCTTCATCAAATTGGGCGAGGATTTGTATTGACTGAAACAAACAAAAATGATAATTACTTTAGTTGGCGCGAACGCGCCGCCTAATAAATTAACAACGATCTCCAATAGCCGGCCGATCTTCATTCAATCATCATTGATTATTATAAATTCCAGGTCAATAGCGCGTATATTAATGGCTGCGTTTCGTGAAAAGGGAAGTACGTAGATTTTAAGGTATTATTACTACAAGTCAGTGTCGCAGATTTCCTTGGCGTATAAACGTTTGTTGCATATAAAATGCAACTTCTGCAAAATTGGCTGCGAAATCCGAATATCCGTTTGCATGGCATCGGACTTTAAAATGATTTCAAATGCTTTGAAAGACTATTGCCAACTGCGAGTCGGCAAGCTGATCTCGCGATTTCTTTATTTATAGAAAGCCAGATTTTTTAGCATTTTAGACTCTTGAAAATCTCCTAGGGACAAGTTTATGGAGGTAAAATATTCAAGAATGATTTACACGACGAGCTATTGTAATAAAACAAGTGAAATTTACATAAAACTTTCAGGATATTTTGTTTAATCTCATAGTTACACTTCCTGTTGCGAGATTTCCTCAATAATAATTTCTCTCCATCTACGCCCATACAAATACAAATATATTTCACTTATATATTTAACTTAATATCCAAGCATATGTGTAATTAGCTAAAAATTCAAAGGCCGCAAAGCCATTTATTTATTCGAAACTTACAATTGACAAGCAAAGATAAATAAGCTTATTAAAAGGGCGATTAAGCATGCGCATTCAAGTGTGTTTATTAGCTCTCCTATACATCATTACACATAATTGCTTTCGCGTTAGTAAACTACATTGACAAGTTTTCGAGTGCCAGAAGGTTCGCAGCAGAAGCGAGTATCGACGAAGCCGTTGAAAAAACAAAATCAAAAACAAAAACGAAATCAACAACAAAAACAAAATCAAAAACAAAAACGAAAACAAAAACAAAAACGAAAACAAAAACAAAAACAAAAACAAAAACAAAAACAAAAACAAAAACAAAAAACAAAAACAGAAAAGAAGCAAACTCGTTTCTAAATCCTGTGCAGCATCACATTAATAATTAAGATGTGGAAGGGGGCAGCTAGGTCGGCCGGCAACTTCCGCCCTCTCCCTAACTATAACGTCGCAAATTCTCAATTACGGCGAATGAATATTTCATCGGACGATATAAAAGAGACGAGCCAACAAGGACAATAACGATCAATGAAAGATTCACGGCTCAGTTGGCGCCGGCACTGCAAGATTCATCAAACGGGTCCACGTGGAACGGAGAAAAGAACGAGTCGTGGTAACGGCACGCGCTACGCGTTTAGTAAATCTCGGGAACGAAGTTGCCTCCTACGAGAACGATCTCGGAATTCCTAACTGCGCGACGCTCTACGCTCTACCCTCGGCTCCGCATTAAATTAAATCCAACTGTACGTAATGCCGGCAACAGATAACCTTAATGGCGCCCAGATATCCTTCTAATGCATCACGATAATTCCGCAGCGGCTTCTTTCGTCCGCGCGCCTCTCCTACTCGGCCAATCAAGCTTCGACGCTCCCGAGGATTGATCGGACGGATAATTTTCTATGTTAATGCGTTTAGCGGGACGATGATGGGACAATGGCTTCGGCTCTCTTGTTCCTCAGCTGATGAATTTTACCGGCAGCCGGACGTCGCTTTCAATGCGATTGCTTGTTGATTCAATGGGGGGGGGGGGGGAGGAGGAAGGAGTCGCTCGTTCATGGGGGTTCTTTTAAACAATCTCGCGTATAGAAACTTCACGATCGAGGCAATATTTTTACGTCTTATTTAGAAAACATAATGCCAAAAGACCCAGATATACTACTGCCTTTAAAACCTGGATGTGGCATTATATTAATGCAAATGCTGTTTAATAAATAAAGAAAAGCAGAAAAGAAAGCATTTTCAACTTTCAGCGCAATGCAAAGAATTAATAAATCAATCAAATCGATTGCAATATTAATGATAATTACAATAAGACGTTTCATCGCTTCGCTGTCGATCCTCCACAAGACAGACGGTCAATATATTTTTTTCTTCTAACGTTCATTTATTAGCTTTATCATACGTCTTTATAATATTATTATAATCTATCCAACGCCCTGTAATTACGACGATAATTTTACTTTATGCCTGATAGAAAGTGAAATACAAATTATTTCATAAATCATTAAGATGAATTATAAGTGCGAATAATTGTTAGGTGCCTGTAAGTACTCATCGGCGACAATAATGTCAATCTATTATAAATAAGCAGTGTTAAAAGAAAAATCAATATAAAAATTAAAAATTCTTTAATAACTGTACAGAACGAACGTTGTAAAACATCGAGAACGAATGAAATTACAAGTGAATTTATATTATGGAGAACTAATGACTTGTTTATCATCGTATTAATGTTGATTTATGCAAAATAACGAGATATTAATAGTCCTAAATTATAAATATTTATTAACCTATTACGACTTTAATTCCAATCAATAATATTCTCTTGTTCTTCGATCTTTACTCACAAAAATTATAATTCAAAAATATTGGCCGATCCCCTTAAACTGTAAAAAATACGATAAAAAATCTTACTTATCTTTAGTAAGCAAAATCGATAAAAGTATATTGTAATTGACTAACGGCATAAATAAATCATAAGCAATACTTCTTGATTGGAAAAGATTGCTTAAATTTATTCTAAGATATCAAATATTAATGGCTATAATACTCCCCAGAGAATTCTTTCGCTTGATCTTTGCCGATAGAAAGTGAAGAAAAGATAAAGTCTAGAATATAGTTGATGCGGTTATTTTTATAAATTTTATACAATATTTTAAGTGGATTAATTCGTGAAAAAGAATTGAGTTAATAATTTTTTTTTTTTTTTTTTTTTTTTTTGTATTTGGCGAATACGTTTCTTCTTCTTCAGAAAATTTCGATGTCGAAAATATCGATAACGTTAGGCGAGAATTTTGAATTGTCGACTCTATTTGCGTGCCGAGTACCTCAATCACAACTACTCATTAATACATTTACATTATAAGTGGTAAATTTAGTTCATTTCTATATGGTAATTTTAACGTAGATAAAGTGTATTATTGCGAAATAAGGTTATACAAGTGGTTAGAAATTAATTCGGTCATATTATTTTAGGCAACATAAATTAAATCACATTTTTCTTTTATAAATTATGTCTTATATATATATATATATATATATATATATATAACACGTAACTTTTCCACGATAATACCTTTACTAGTACATATAGTAAAATTATTAAGGAAGCCTATGAATGCTTAATAAAAAAAAAAAAAGTGAAATATAATTTATTACGAGCTGTAAATATAATATTTTTATTTATTTTGTTTTTTGTTTTTCTACGATTTATGCATAGAAATGAAAATAAGTTAAAATAATAATGGTAATTTATCCATGTATTGTATGCCTATTCTTGGATTTTAACGACACAAATGACGTACTCTCGAAGAACATATTTAATTTCATGGGAATGCATCTCTTTTCTTTTAAGGCTCCTTGAAACGTCAAATATTATAATAAATAAAACATTTTTCAAAAGTTAGCGCTCCCTTCATTATATATTACACGTAGTGGCCTATCACTAGGTCTGTTACTTTTTCAAAGCGATACTTCCGTGACACGCCTTTAAAACTCCATAAGAATGCTTCGGTCGCTTCCACGAAATTGCGATGTACATTTACCGACTTATCGATTACAATTACGTACATTTGCCTTAATATACAGTAATGACCGTAGCCAAGTCACGAAGGGAAATACTAGATAATAATACTAAGGTGAATTATTTTTCAATGCGAATTAGTCAACCAGGCGCTCAAGACTTCTTCCCGAGCAAATTGCCAATATATTTTTAAACGGTAATTTCTTTAATATTTACAATGGTCTTTTAATTTTACTCCTTTTGTCGGACACTGGCGATCTCGTGCTAAATAAAGCAAACGCGATTGAAATTACCGGGACAAAAGCGATATATTACGATTAGATAAAATCTAAATTATTTTTGCGAGCGCGGCTGTACTTAATAAAATTAAAAAAATACCGAGCGGTGGGTATGTACCATTTGCGCGCGCGCGCGCATAAAGTCATTGCGAAACCGGCCTGCCTGACAAAGTATGATTGCTCAATCGTCGAGCGCTCAAAAACAGATAATTTATCGTTGCGTCAAATCTCTAATGCTTCATTTCTCCCTAATGCTCACACATACATATAAGCATGCGCGCGTATCATTACGGTTGTCGACGTGCAACTTGTCGTGCCGAGCTTTCAACCGACAGTCAGTTTGACTTTCGTCGTGGTTGGTCACGCGCGACTTAACCGCCTCCGCCAGCTACGAAACATTGACCTTTTTCGCGACTGCTTTTCTCGTGGAAACGACGTGTGCCAGCATCGGCACCTCCACCATGCTCAGCCACTTTCTACGCTGTTCGCCCTATCTCAGCCACTACCTTTTACAATGGTTATTGTCATTTACGGTTGAGCGAGCGCGCAATTGTAGCGTTGCTTTAGCGCAAAAGTGAAAATAAAGCAAAGCGAAAATCAAAAAAAAAAAAAAAAAAAAAAAAAAAAAAATTAAATAAATAAATAAATAAATAAAATAATATCAAAAAAAAAAAAAAACAATAAAAAACAATAAAGGAACAAAAAGAAGAAAATATATGGCCGAATAGTATTCAAGTCTTTGAGTTTTCAATAGAAACTAACTAACTATTAAGTTTTCGTTTCTTCTTTATCATACGTAATAATGTGAATTGTTATCTCGTAAGGTCGGACGATCGTCTTTATTATTTTTAATCTTAGATGAAGAAATTTTAATGGTGAAAGAGGGAGTGTTTGGTAAAGATTTATCGTGAGAAAACCGGGAATTAGCACGTACCAAGCGATGAAAAGTACCAACACCTCGAGCATTATGATCAGTTACTTATATTCGATGTACCATTTATTTTTACTGCCTTACATTTTTCTTTATCTTATTACTATCATTAGAAAAAATATGTCGTTTCTTTAAACTCATGACGATTCAAACCTACGAGTCATGACGATCAAGATGACTACCAACCTTAATTTTTTCACTTTTTTTTTTTTTTTTTTTTTTTTTTTTTTTTTTTATGAAACGCATACGAAAAAGTGCAGTTTTTGCGTCACTTCTATCGCAAAGGAGTGTCAAATACGTTTAAAATAAGTATTTACGATATAAATTCAGAGCTGATCCATATCACATGCGTAATCCCCATTGTACTTATATTCAAATGTTTATTAGCATTAAACTTTGTCATTAAACCATTAAGAATGAAAGCTATGCTTATGCTTATATAACAGGTCTGAATAAAACCAACTAGCTTTACCTGAAAACAACATCCCAGTCGAGTGCGCGTTCTCTACTCCTCTTTTGTAGCGTTATCTCTGCATATTTCGCGCATATTCTTTCGTAAATGCAGACATTTTCTCCAAGTTCAGCTATCAGCTTTTTTTCAACGGTTCCAACGTCTAGAATTTCTTCATCGTGCGGTCTTGGAAGTGTTCTTTTAGTTCGATTCATATATGTTTCTAAAATAAAGATCTCATTAGTATATCTTGTTGGCGTGTAAATTAAAGCGCCGGAAACATATTTATTTGCAATGTTATTTTGTAAGTTAAGATACGTCGACCGATTGCCTCCTAATTCTTATGGTATGTAACACTACGCACGTGTACGAGTAATTCCAGTTAAAATTTTATACTGATTATGCGGCAAAATTGTATTATTCCTATATAAATGTAATAACAAGTGAATTTTTAATTTCTATTTGCAATTAAACGATTTTTTCACTTTATAGTTTTTGTCGAGTATAATTATACGTCATTTTTACGCTTTATGAAATATTCCTAGTAATACATTGATTAATTCACACACATATATATATATATATATTTATATGTATATATATTTCGATTCTAATTATTCTATTGAATTAATTATTTAAATAAATTAATGTTATGGTTCTATAACGCGTAAATAACAAAAAAAATGTATATATATATATATATATATATATACATTTGGGATGGCTTTTATTTTGATGGCTTTTGATAATTAATTAAGGAAGTGCAATATATTTTATTGTCAATTATCAATTTTAGTCTCACTTTGATGTAATGTATATATATATATATGAGTGTAATTTATGAAGAAAGGTCGCATCAATGTAAAGTTTTATGGTTACGATATTGTTACATGCGTCTACTTTACAGGAGGTCACGAGCAAGTGGAACACTTTCGCTTTCGCCACTTAGTTTGCACATGATGCTATACGAGCATTCACTTCTATCATGCACACAAGTACTTACGGAACTGAATACTTCCTCGATTTTAAAGCAAAAGTTAAAAACAACTTTTTTGCAATATTATTGCACTCAACTTTCTTTAACAAGCTTTGTTTCAGTTTTATTTTAAATGATTTGATCAAAGCAAATATATATATATATATATATATATATATATATACATTACATTTTTATTTAAGAAATGTTTATAATGAATTAATGATACATTAATAAATGCACGCATTTATGATAGATAATTATAAAATATTTAGGTAAAAATATTACAAGTATCATAAGAAAATTTAAATTTCATTGAATAAATGTTATATGAATTACACATTTCGCTATTGCATTTGACAGATAAACTTATCAATTTTGCGACGAAAGAAATTAATAACGTAATAGTATAAAATAAATCTACTCGACGAGAATTGTTGAGAGAAATGTTTATTTATGTTTATTTATGTTTGTTTATGTCAAACTCTACATTACATATAGAATGTGTAAGTACATCGATTGAACGATAATTCAAAATCATGAAGTGAGGTCGTGAAAAAGAAGAAAATTTAAAACAAAACTAATAAAAGTTAGTCAATATTCAAAGAAACGCTTTCTCTATTTCATAATGCAAATACAAGTGTATTTGGCAGAATTTCATGATGACATATCAATGGAATTACTTACGAGGATTGAGTGAGTAAGCCAATTTCTTAACAAAATTTGTAATTCGAACAGCGGCTATTATAACTGGAAAGCCAACTAGTTGCACGGGCAGTTCAAAAAATGGCTCCTGCGGTGCAGGCGCCGATCCTACGTAACTCAGCATAATAAAGCAACAGGCCAGAATTACCGATATCCTTGTTAGACGCATCCTGAATGAATTTATTATCTGAAAAATTATAATTCTTTGTTATCATAAATTAAGCATTCGCTCCAATTGTTGTATATCTATTGCAACCATGAGTCGTACGTTTAAAACAAAATCTCGATAATAACAATGACAATGACAATGATAATGATAATAATCATAATAATAATAATAACAACGACAACGATAGTAATAATTATGATAATTATAATAATGATGGTAATTATAATAACAAAAATGACCTGTAAATCATTTAATATTAATTAAAAGTTCTAGATTAAATAGTATTGAATTTGCAAACTGTAATGAATTCTACAAAATAAATATACGTTACTGTAGCATTCCGATAGATATTATTCTCAACATTATGTTTTGATATAATAAATCATGTGTTGCAAGAAATTCGAAATTATTCAAGGTATTTAACATAATATGGAAAATTCGTATAACGAGTTAACTATTTTCTGAAAAGAAATATCGCTGTCGGCGATTGAGATTTCGGAATATGAATGAAAGATTTTTAAACGAAGTTGCGAAACATGTATAATGAACGAAATTTCAACAAAAAAAAAAAAAAAAAAAAAAAAAAAAAAAAATATTCAATACTATAATTAGATTCAGATTTAAAAATCTTTACTAACTTTTAATTTTTACTTTTAACTATTTTACTATATCAATTGTTTCACTGCGGGCATTCAAAAAATTTATCGAATGTAATATACGAATATTTATAATTAATATCAAAACAATAATGATCCAAATAGAATAATAAATATCTATTAAGATACACTATTTATATGTTTGCTAAGACAAATATCGTTGAATTCTACGTAAGGATTAATATTGATATAATCCATGACTATATATTATAATAAAAAAAAAAAAAAGAAAAATGAAGAAGAAGAAAAAAAAACAAGAGAAAATTTAATTTATTAAAAAGTAATATTTTCTTTTGTAAAAAATCTTAATGAAAATTTGATGGCTACTCTGTTGTTTTATTTATTTATTTAATTATCATAAATTTACAGAATTAATTCGATTACGAGCGAAGAATTTTTTCTAATGTTTTTATTAAAAGATATAAAAATCGTATATATTTTAGCTTCTAATAATTTATGATTCTTTACGATAGTTATGCGTGTAAATTGTACGCGTGAGATTATTCCCAACGAGCAGTCGCAGATAATTGATTAAATCAAAAAAATATTGTAACGGCTCGCCCATTCGATTCTTACAAGAGGAAAACTGAACAGGAAAGCTATGATCGCGAAAGCTTTGTTCGTAATTGCTCCTTATAAATCCTTGTTCGTCTAGTCGAACAACTTATCGAAAAAATCATTGTATATTGTATCGATGTTTTATAGAAGTCGAATTCTTAAAAATAATGGACTAGTCCTGTGATTAGTTTTAAACATGCGTCTCTATTAAATTTCCACTAATAGAATCCAATGGCTTTGACAATATGAAAAATCCTTAGCGACATATTTTTAGAACATTTTGCTTATGTACGAATAATTTATATTACTTCTACGTGTCCATACTCGAAAATATTTATTTCGAAAATATAATCTCTACTATTATAATTACGAATTGTACAATAACATAAATTTCATTATATTTGCTTTACACTCTTGTTCATTTGCCATTAAAATTATTCTATATCTATAAAATTTCTATAAAGTCAATCATAGATTGAGTTTTGTCAAAATTATATTTTAAAGTAATCATTATTACAATTCAAATTTTAAATACCCATAATTTACATCACAATGTTTATCATAATAAAATGTGCATGAATATTAAGCGTAAAACGTAAATATTCAATTACTTTTTTACTTTATTAAAATAAAAACATCCTATCTTGATAATTATCAAATCGAACATGTGAATTTATTTCCTACAAAACATTGAAATTCTAAGTCTCGTACCAATTATAATATAAAAAAAGAAAAGCGATTATAAAATAATTAATCTCATATTCTATAAAATTTATTGGATAAATAAGTGTTGTTTTTCAGATATTCATTCTTTTTATAAAAAAAAAAAAAAAAAAAAATTAATAAATTCAACTTTTTCTATCGAAGATGGAATTGCAATAACTTTTTTTTGTTATATAAGAAAAAAATTATTATTGATCTAATTATTTTCTTATGTAAACATGTTTTGTCATATTTATTCGAGTGATTGTAAACATAATTTTTTATAATACTCGTATTATGTATTGCAAAAAAAAAAAAAAAAAAAAAAAAAAAAAAAAATTGAAAATGATGTATAAATAAAGAAAAAATGCATGTAAAATCAGATTATGTAATACATAGGTGATCTTTAATATGTGTAATAAAATATTTCAATTTTCAGCTTGTAACGCAATTGGTAATGCATTGCTTCGTGAAAATTTGTGATTATTAGTACGATCTATCGAGTAAATATCCTTAGTTATCTTTAATAACTTATTATTGATCGGAAATTCATAATGTTTTGCATTCAATCAAGTAAATGATGTTTAGTCTATGATGATTATTAGAAAGCGTATTAGAATGATGTAGCATTTTGTCTAGATTATCCGATGAGGAGAGAAGGTATTGCATGCCGTAAATTTACGAACAATCGGTTTTTACATGCAAATCAATTGGATATTAATTGCCATAAGTCACTGTACACTTTAATAATGCAAATGATAGGGGGTGAGAGTGCTAAATTAGTATTAATAATGAAATAGCTTGGGTTATATAATAATTTATTGGATCATCTAATAAATTATTAGAAATTGAAGACTGAAATAATGATGGAGGGGAGTAGTGATAAGCATCGAGCTCATACGTACCTAAGGCGCGAATTGAGAGCCTAGAAGTGTCTGTGAGATGTTAAGAGGCGATTACGTTAAGAGGCGATCGTAGCGGCTAACCTTACCGTGACTGGATCGCCTCAATTGGTCTGGCAAAAGTACCGTGGAGAAAAGTCAGTGCAAGCACAGACTCATCGAACCAACCTGATCGGTAGGGCTTTTAGGAGCTCGTGCCCGCGAGATGAGACGGTGATGAGGTACACGAGCGCTCGTCGGGCTCAGCGAAAAATCGAGCACTGATGGCTTCGTGAGCGGCTGTAGGCTCGCGCGAAACCTTTTCTCCCGCTCCGAGATTTGACTGTGCACCTGGCGGCGGCGGCGGCGGTGGTGGCGGCGGCGGCGGCGGCGGCGGCGGCGGCGGTGGCGGCGGCGGCGGCGGCTGTGCCTGTGTCTCTAGCTATGGCGGTGGCTGCAACAACAACGACTAAAATGATGATAACGATGACGACGATAACGACGAGAACGAGAACAACGACGACGACACTTTCCACGGCTCTGGTTATATAATCGGTTGAAAGTGTGCACCAGGTAAGTGCCGAGGCACGTCGGACTCGCGGGCGGTAGACAGACTCGCGTCTTATCCGGTTCAGAGCCAAGCGTCTAGATAAAAACTTTACGGCGGACTCGCCGCCGGGGGTTCGCCTGGAGAAAGTCCCGCCCCTCCAAATGTCCCGGGGCCCGGCTTGCGAAAGGGAGACGGGGCCCGCGACAAGGTCGCGGCCGAATGGCTTTCCACTCGCGGGGACGTGACCGCGAACGTGGGATCCGAGATTATCTTGGGAAAGCCAGCTTCCTTGTTTGAGCGCTGAGCTTTAATCAATCGAGGGTCCTCGTGTTGTTTTTTGTTGGCGTAGCTCGAAATGCGAGATGCCCGAAGGTGGGCTGGGACTCTGGATGGGAGAAAAGGAGCACGGGATGCCAGATTAGCGGCATGGTGGGCTATTATTTTTAAAAGTGATCGTCCTTGCACCGTAACGGCCTTCACCGAATAAACGGTGCATGGCCTGTTTGTATGCGTAGAGAGTACCTGGTTGGTTAGAATTTTTAGTATCGTATCGCAATATGTAGATAAATTGACGTTGCCGATGAGATATCTGATAATCGTTAACGCTTTCTATTTATTTGAATAGTGATTGTGTGATTTCGGTTAATGTCGATTTTTACGAACAATTAACGAGTCTTTTCTTTCCTGACATATATGTTTCTTTTGATATTTGTTTATCATATTTGTACGAGCTGTGGTGACAGGTATTATCAAAGTCTCTCTCTCTCTCTCTGTGCGAGCGCGCGCGCGTGTGTGTGTTTTTTAAATTCATTATTAAATGATTAATATGTATTAAATATTAATAGGTTCCATGCATATTTATGATTTAATTTTAATATGTTGAGTATTGACGAATCGAGATTATTTAGCATTTAATATTAAAAAAATTTATTATGAAATTTTTAAACGACGAACATTTTATGTCCATATATATATTGTTATGGGAAGGATAAATTGTCAAATATGATTAATGAAAATTTTTATAATTTTAATAGCACAAAATTTTTAACATTATTGTTATCAATTATTTGAAATGCATAGTTAAATTAAGATTAACTAACAATCGCCTTTCCACTTTCAATTAATTATATTCATTATTATTTGTATATTATGAGGTGTAATGTCTAATAGGTGAAATAACGGATTATTAAACATATGCAGTTTTTAAAGGAACTTTTTTCACGATAAAATATTTAAAAATTTAACAACAGGTAAATTCAATTTATTTTAATAAGCGAATTGACTCTCCGGCAATCTACTATATGTTAAGTTTTATCCGATGTGATAAACGCATCTAATTAACATGCCATTGTATTCCATTTGTGTGACCGAATTATATATGTTAATCAAGGATAAAGGCTATCACAAGTATTATCACGTATCAACAGTCTGTACCGAATACAATACGGCTCTTACATCAAAAGCGACAAAAGGAAAATATCTACATATATAATTGCCTGATAATATAATATTAAATTACTAATGTTACTTAACAGTTGAATATAGAATTTATTCTACCTACCAATAGAAATTCCAATTACAAGGTTAATAGTGGAAAATAATTTATTTCAAATGTCTATGTTTGGCCACCTTACATTCTTCCTTTTTTTTTTCTTTTTTTTTACAGTATAAATTACGTATTTTCCATTACTAATAATAATATTTTTCAATTTTTAGGAATGTTAATGTCGTGGAATAAATAACGATTTTTTTTTTTTAAGAATACGTTTTTAAATAATCTCGTGAGTTCTAAGTAAAACTAAAAGGTTTGACTATAATTTTCGTATTTGATAATCTTTATTCCCGAGCTGATCACATGGTAGACGTTTTTGGTCAATTTGACAATTAATCAGATAATTTTCATGTATTACGTATAAATTTGATTAATATATTGACTAATAAATGTAAATGATGTAAGGAACTAACTGATGGATTTAGCTAAAATTTTATAGCTAGAAAAACCTATTAAAATGCCAAGTAGAAGAATTTAGTATGCATGATTCATTTATTGAATGTTAAATAAAAGACTTTTGACTACGTTAACATTATAATTTATCACACCAATATATTGGAGGTAATACAGAAAATTTAATCTTATAGAGTCGATTACTCATTATTATTATTAATTTGAAAACAAGGTCCTTTAATTTAAAATCGTTTAAAACTCAATTAACTTAAGATTATCGAAAGTAATTATGAACAATTTTGTAATTAAATTCATTCCGAAAACGCCATCGAAATACGCAATAATAAATACACAAATAATGCACATATAAGAACAAAATCACAGTTGATAAAATCTATTTTAAATGATTAAATAATTACAATTGGCATTTTACAATATTCTTTAATATTATTTTCACTATCATATATATGTACACATTATATATGCACGCGCACGCGCACGCGCACAACACACACGCGCACAACACACACGCGCACAACACACACGCGCACACGCACTACACACACGCACACACGCACACGCACACGCACAACACACACACCAACACACACACGCGCGCACGCGCACTACACACACACACACACGCACACGCACACGCACATTATGATTACTTTAATGAATTATTTATATTATTGATTTAATATTATCTTTGCGATAGCTCCTTGCTGTCAACATTGGTATTTGCTAACCTTCGTGATATTGCGCTAGTAGTCCTGGATTCCCAATGAGTGGATGAGACAACATCAATGTTGTCTTGTAATCTGGTTTTTCCATAATGAACTAAGTTACCTATTTATTCTACATAACGTCCCTATAGTGTTTCAATATTACATGAAATATCTTAAATAACTTTTATGTATTTGTCTAGGTCATTTTAATTAATAATACATTTATTTTATAATCTATTAAAAATAAAATTATTTATTGCAATAAAATAATCAAGATAAATATGTAACGATTTTCTTGTGTAAGCATATATAGATAATTTCTATTAAAGAAATTAGACAACTATATGAATATCTTGTCAAAATGATTACTTGACAAATTACGTATTTACTAACTTTCATTAAAAAATATAATAAAGAATGTAATATTTTGTTATTAATAATATAATTAATTGAATAACAGTGATATAATTATTTAAATAAAATTTTCAGACAGATTAAATGGCTGTACATCTAATCATACACTTTAAATTTGAATAAAGTTTAAACTTAACTTCTTAACTGAAGCCAATATTTATGTTTAATAAAAAATTTAGAAGGTTAAAATAAAATAATTTATAATGAAATGTACAAATAAATATTTTTTTTTTTATCTTTGTTATATTTGGAAAACTATAAGAAAGCGGCTAATTAAACTGTACGAGTATTTAAATTTAATACGAGTATTAAAACGAATGTCTCTCTCTCTCTCTCTCTCTCTCTCTCTCTCTAAATATTATAGTTTTTCTTTAAAAAGAATAAAAAAGAATTTATTTATTATATAATAGTTTTATGGTTTATTACACAATAGTTATTATATAATTGTTGACATTTCACTGACTTACAGATCCATTAATCTCTTGATTAATTTCTTCTAAAAATTAATAATATTGCATAAACCTAAGGATAGATTAAAAAATAATATTTATAACATAAAAACATAGAAAGTTATTTGAATTATTGTAATAATATTATGATCAGTTAAAAAAAAAGGTTCTTTTTAGCGAAAGCACCATTAGAAAGATAAAAGAATTATAAGCATTTGCATTTATTTTTAATTAACATAAAAAACAAATAACATAATTAAATACTAATGCTTTACGGATAGATTGAAAACTTGTATCATCGTATCTTCCTTTTATCGTGTCGTTAAATAATTTTAATTAAAATAATAAATTGAATTTGACTCTAGATTAAAAGATATTATCAGATGCTAATTTTTTAAAATGATAATATAAAGAAGCACTGAGTTCATTCTTTAATGATTAATTATTCAATAAATTAGTTAGAAATTGAAAACAATGTTTTTGTAATTTTATAAATCATTAAAAAATTCATGGTAACAGTTATTAAATTAAGGTGAAATTTGTAGATGAAATAATATTCAAGTTTTTGAAATAATTATGAAATATATTTATAAATATGCTGAAATTTAATTGTAAAACAATTCGTTTATTGAACAAGAATTGTGCTGATAAGAAAGTTTGTAAAATTGTTGATATGCTATAGTATAAAATATTAATAAAATGATTTTATATTCTTTAATTTATGTATATTAATCATTAATGGGATGGACGGTTAATGATACTTTGGATTTCTTTCAAATTATGTATTAGCTAAGTATAATTGTGCGAATAATGGATTATTGTACGATGATAATCTTCCATAACATTGTATAATTGCATGTAATAAAGAAACATATATCATATGAGTAAATAATTTATTTATAAACATTATTTTTATTTATTTTTATTATTATATTGTATTACTTTTGTATTATTACTTATTATATGTACATGGTGATTACAAATTTATATATATATATATATATATATATATATATATATATATATATATAAATTCTCTTTTGTTTGTTTAAAAATTATCGTACTTTCTCTTCCATCCACCGCACTTAAATCCAATGGAAATGTTTCACTGGTGTGGGAAAATTTTGTTTTTACTTTTAGTAATATCTGAATAAACAAACTTGTAATACATTTTTATCGCTTGACAATGGATACTTTCATATTGTACAAAAGACCTTCTCAAATGTTCGTAAAGAACGTTCGCATTGCAAGTCCAACAATCTGTAGCGTACATATCCAAAAACCATAATAATTACATATCTCGACGTTGTTTTTTTTTTCTTTTTTTTTTTATATTTTAAAGGAAAGTCATACAATCGAAATATAATCGAGCAATTCAGTCGCGCATAAGAAGATAAGATAAGAGCGAATGGCTTTCGACTAGCATCGAAATTCTAAATTTAACGTCTATGGTCTCTGGAGGTATATACAGAAAGCAAGGCAGATCACTAATATATACAGGGATGCTTGTTGACGTAAGTATGGGTTGGTTGGCTTCGTCGCTGACAATTAAGAATGTTATATCACAGACACGCGGACAGCGTCTCTCGCATTAAAGTGCATCCGAATCCCGAGGCGTGGGCGTCCCTCGGGGTCTCAGTGTGGCCGAATTTTCTTCATCATTTTGAGAATGTTGGCGCCGGAGAGCGGACAGGTGGGGTAGAAGTTTTGGCAGCCCTGGCCCTCGATGCCCGATATCAGCTGTCCCATGTGCGCGGCGTAGTGGTACTTTGAGGCGACCTCGGCGACGTTGTCCAGTGTCGTGTCCCTGCGCAACGAGTCACTTTTACACTACACTGGCATGCCAAATGGAAAAACAGCGGCGATGACGGCGATGGCGGCGATAGCAGCAGAAACAACAACAATAACAACAGCAACAGCAACAACAACAACAACAACAAGAACAACAATGACGACGACGACGACGACGACGAAAAGGTTGACGAGGACGCAATGAACCGTTGCGTTGTAACCGAGCCAAGGCCTACTCTCCTTTTACTTTCATAATGCGTATCGGCAGCGACGCTCATTACGCCTCGGCAATTTACCGCGCGAGTGTAATTACCGGCCCGATACGCGCGGGGCCATGATTTTGCACAACGGCCGATAATGGCCGGCTTGCGTGCCGCCGCCGCCGCCGCGTTATTTTTCCTTCGTTTTGCTAACACGCACTATTATTATGTTTCTATGAATATCAAAGGATGGGCATTTTAGTCGAGGAGCATTAGATGCTTCGGGAGTGTCGGCGGTGGCCGTTTAACCGATTGGCCTTTAAATAGTTGGCTTGTGATCTTTCATTATTATCGGCGCGCTTATTACGCAATTTATTATTTATCATTGTTAGGGATGATGGTGTGCTGGTTTTACTCTCGTTACGTGAAAAGAAAAAAAAAATGAAAAAAGAACAAAAGAAAAGTGGACGCCGTGGATGACTTACGTCGTCGATGAAAGGGACGCGTTGAGAGGCGATGGTTAGCGGTCATATGCTGCACTGTGCACGTTTAATAATTTGTTATTCGCCAAAGCGTGAAAGTAGTATATGTATTAGATGGATTTTTGTATATGCGGTGGAATAGTATGCCCTATTATTAAAATAAAAGCAAGTTGATAATTAAAACATTTATAGTTTCTTAATCGTGGATTGTAATTGATTAGATAAGTAAGTAAATACTGTTTTAATGTTCCGAGGCATTTATTGGGCGAATAAGTAATTTATTGTACTTTGTAGGATAATAATTTGATTGTACTTAAGCAATTGAATAATACATTGTATCATTGTCTCTCTATCTTTACGTCATAAATTAATCATGCTTAAATAAATCGATATTGTAATAGTACATCTGTTGAAAAAGAATTTATATTAACATGAACATATGAAATATTCATCACAGCCAATTACGTAAGGTTGAATAGATGACCTATAAAAAAATGCCTACAATTTCTTACGGTAATCACACGCGTATTCACGGGAATTTTATTTCTACGATAAAACGCGAAAGATATCCCGTGTATTTTAAGTAATGTTAAGCACTGTACAAACGAAAATTCAACTTTATATTAAAAGAACATATTGCTTATAAATTAGACCCTTATTTTGCTTCATTTATTATCTTTATTGTAATTCAGGTGCTATCGACGAATTAGCAATCTATTGTATGTATTTCGAATATTGTGCTTAATTAGAAACTTTGGTGATATTTAATTTAAAAAAAGCATTACTCCAATATCACCGAGATAAAAACTTCAGCCGTCGTATAGCCCGGTAAGAGTCATGGTTTTACAGACTTTTCGACTCATCTTACTTCTTTCATTCGAAACTTCCAGAATATGATACTAAATTCAAGGTATAATCTCACTGAGGCGTGTGCGCGTGACTCTCTATGCGCATGTACGTAGCTAAGGGTTGTACGTACACGTCGAGTTATACGCGTCTCACATCGGCAAGTTAAGATCGAAAGGAGAGACGCCGCGAAACTCCTGTAATCCCCGCGAGCGCAAAAGTGCTCTTCGACGGCAGGAAGAGGAAGACGAAGCGACGATGGAGATAAAAAAAAAAAAAAAAAGAAAAAAGAAAAAAACGACTAAGAAGAAGAAATGGAGTAGAAGGGAAGGAAAGGAGGATCGAAACGACAACGGTTCCGTCACGTGTCGTCGTCGTCATCGTCGTCGTCGTCGTCGTCGTCGTCGTCGTCGTCGTCGTCGTCGTCGTCGTCGTCGTCGTCGTCGTCGTCGTCGTCGTCGTCGTCGTCGTCGTCGTCGTCGTCGTCGTCGTCGTCGTCGTCGTCGTCGTCGTCGTCGTCGTCGTCGTCGTCGTCGTCGTCGTCGTCGTCGTCGTCGTCGTCGTCGTCGTCGTCGTCGTCGTCGTCGTCGTCGTCGTCGTCGTCGTCCAGAGCCTTTTTAGCTTTTTCCATCTTGATCGGTTTAACTCGAAAGTGCGCGCGATGCGCCCAATAAAGTTGGGCGCGTTAGCGTTTGCGTTTACGCTCGCGTAAAAGTAAATATAAAGCTCGAAACTTTCCGGGACATTAAGCATTCGGGCGCGCTCTCCTTAGTCTTCCTTCTTCAACTCCGCGAGTTAAACTGTCCATTCGATTGCTTTTCAGCCACTGTGTTCAGCTCCTTCATGATGAACTGGCGCGAGAAAGACAGACGGAGGGAGGCATAAATGCTTTTTATCTGAACAAGGAGTAATGTCTTTCAATTTACGCTCGATGTTTATTGATTCGTTTTCATGATGTACTGCAATCCCTTTAGTTTTCTCGAATAAGGGATGTGCTTGCAACCATCGAAAGGATCTACGTGAGTTGAATTGATTACGCCGCGTCCTTTGCTCGGCTACCAATTTGAATTTAGGTGAATTCGACGGCTGTGATGGATTTCGATTTATTTTTCATTCTCCATTAGCAAATGAGACAAATTGACGCTGACCAATGAATATAATCTTATGGTCAATGTTATGGCAGTCGAATATACTTTTATTGAATTAATCATAAAGTGATGGAATGAAAATAACGAGCTGTATATCGTTATAGATCACGGGCTCTTCGAACATTACACAGTGCGCGTGAATCTATACGTCACGAAAAGCAACAGACAATTGGCCAAAGACATATCCACAATAAATTCTAATAATTAAAAATTTACTTACTGGCACACTTAATTTAATGAATTGCGTTTTAATAACAAGCACCGGTCGTAATTATCGCATCAATAACAATAATAAGAATAATAATAATATTTCTTATTAGTATGCGATGATAAACTTTAAATTTAATTGTGCTCGAATTGTAATTTTAATTAATTTGAAATTTACGTACTTTATTATTATACTTTAGCTAACAAAGTGTATAGATAAATTTCGTTATAATTTATTTAAAATTTATTACAAGTTCAAATAATTTTCTTGAACTCTATCTTCTACATCATTATATGATATTAATTAATTACGTAGATCTGTTAAAAGATTATTCATTGCTCATTATTAAAGAAATTCTTTGAATAATTGTTAAATATAAAATAGCAGTTTAATTGTTGTTTATTGAAAATCAATTTTCTTGAGTTGAAGAACTTAACTTTCCTTGGTGTTTTTTTTTTTTCATAAATACTTGATTTACCGGCTTTAAGGTCAGACAGAACGCCAGTAATATCGTAAATTATTTTTTCTCTTTCGATTATTCCAAAATTATCCAAACAATTATTAATATAGTTAATTACTTCAGTAAATTATGAATATATGCATTAATAAAACGTTTATTTAAATGCCATACCCATGAATAATGTTCAAAATAATGAAAATACACCGTATAGAAAATAATACGTTATTTTATTCGAATTTATTTTCTAATTCGAATTGAAAACAACGAATTTGATTCAACAATGTGCGTGGAGTGATGATAATAAAATTAACTTGCAGCATCGCACTTTAACATTATTTAATAGATTCGGTGACAAAATTTGTTCGAGCGCAATAAGCAGCATTGGAGAAAGTTTGAAAATTATATAATGTGGCGAAGGGAATGATGTTAACAGGACGAATTGACCGACGAAAATATTCATTGATGCGACGCCAAGTGTTTCTGGTAGTCGTGTGCTTATGTAACAATCCAGTTTTTACTTTCGCCAAACCGGTTTCTCGCTCCAAAGACATCTCGCATTCAATATAATTATAATATTCGACTGCTTCGAATTCATTTGGTATATCGTCATTATACATCACGCGGAAAATTCGGTATTTTCCCATTTATTTAAAATATTTGAAATTGAAATGGTGTATAGACAATTTTAATTTAATCGAGAATTTAAAGCATTTTAAATTAGTTCGATAAGTCACTTTGTAGAATTTTTAATGCGCAGTTTAAATACGATTTGAATTTCGTTTGACACTTAAATTAGAAATGCTTGTCAATATTATATATTGGAAACGCCGTAATAAATGCTTGTTAGCCGATTTTTGTTGTTGTTGTTGTTGTTGTTGTTGTTGTTGTTGTTGTTATTGTTGTTGTTGTTGTTGATATTATACATAATCGACAAACTATCAATATATCAAATTTAATATAAATCAATAATCAACTATCAAATCAATATATCTCTGTATATGCATAAATAAATTAGTCAGGGAAGGGAAAAATTTACCATTTATACACAATTTTTCGTAGATTATAAAAAAAAATAATACTCATTAAAAGATCAATTTTAATTGCGGTTAACAATACAAAGGCGAATAATCGCTCGTGTTAAAGGGCTGGAAAGAACGTATGGAGTGGAGTAATGCGTTTGAGTTATTCACATTTCTGCAAATCGATTATTATCGAGACACTGCTCGTTAGATACGAAAATATTGTATTATCATTGTCCGCGGCTTTAGCGCAATGAAAGTCGATTGTCGAGAGTCAAATGGATGCTCGCATGAGCCCCAGAACTATTTTTCAAACGCGGATAATCGCGTCCGTTATTTTGCGCGGACCAATGATAAATGAAAATGATGTGGTCGGCGGCTCATATTGGAATATATGAGCCAACTTGGGCATCGCTTGATTATTTGCGCGGTCCAATATATCGTTGCATAGCTCGATTATCGCGTTACCGTCCGCTGAGTCTCCATATAATCCGAAATTTTACTATTTTGCGAACGCGAGTGAAAATTACAATTTCCCGACCGCGATGTCCGGCCCACTCACTACGCGTTATCCAATTTTCATCGGCTACTCGACTTGTTTTCCATATGTTTCGCCTCTACCCCCACCCCTCCCATCCGAAACAAAAGCTCGTTAAGTGTTACTATACTATTATCTGCCGAAATTAGTGTTTTCAAATTTTGTATTTTGAGCAATGTGAAATGTGCACGCAAAACCAATATTTCTGACCAGCCCACTAGATAATATTTATGACGAATTTGAGTATTCAATCAATATATTCTCGTATATCTGTTATAGAAATCGCGGATGAACTTTTGATTTAATCTGAATTGTCATTATTGATGAAATTATATGAGTTAGTCCAGTAATAATAAACATCAAGTTATAATGCATTTTATATTCTAGCTTTTTAACAATTAATTGTACATAATCTACATTACAAATGACTTGCATTATAATTAATTAAAAAGATAAATAATTACAGTTTATGCCATAAGATATGAAGAAAAGAAAATTTATTATACAGTATATTAAATATTTATATCGTCGTTATTCATCTCCATTCAAATTATATAAACAACAAGTTCACTCGATTAATAGAATCAAACATATAATTTTCCATAATCTTATATTTTTAACAAAGTACTTTTAATGATTATATTTTCGCGATCGTTTATTTTTTTAATTTTATTTTATTTCTAGGATCGAATATAATATAGGTAGATAATATTTTTTACATTATTCATTATACGGACATCATTCACTATATTACATAACAATATGAACTGATTAATAATTTATTTAATAAATTATTGATTAAAATTTTTACTTTTTCATATATCATATATAGTATTTGTACACATACTTACATAAAATATATAATTTAATTTTTTTTTATACAATTGTATACATATGTATATGATAATATTTCATTTTTGCAAGTTTCGTTAATTCACTAATTAGGATCTTGAATGAATTAGAAATTTATATCTTACGTATTAATCAATATTATACTCAATTTAATGTATATTTATATTTAGAATTTCGTATTCATTAAATAATTTCATGCTGATCTTTTATTCAGTGAAAAGAATAATAAGATAAAAATATGAGGCTTCTGTGCTAAGAATGCAGTTAATTTTTTTTTTTTTTTTTTGTTTTTTTTTTTTGTTGCTTTTATATATCTTCTTATATACGTTATTTATTTGATAGAAAGCTAATTCATTTGATGTTAATAAAATAACTATTTCATTGTGCTTATTAATGCATTGTTGTAAATAATACGGTATTTCTCATTAATTTAATAAATATCTCTTCAAAGTTATATTTGCAATTTGCATATATATAAGAATAATAATACAATTTGTATGTAGATTATTGAAGTTATATATTAAGTTTGAAGTTATATAAACTCCAAGAGTTTCAATGATAGTCGGCTGGTTCGCCAAATTTTAAACAATTTTTATAGGCAATGTTTATAGCTTATAAATAAGATGTGACATTGATATCCATGATTTTATTAAAATGTAAATGAAAAATTTAATACTCACATTAACATTATGTGAAGTTTCAGTACGAAATCAGAAAAGTAATTTATTATTAAAATGGAATGTACGTTGAATTTTCATTAAATTTATTATTATTATTATTATTATTATAATCAATTGTATAGATGCAGCGAATGCGAAAAAAGACATTTATTGAGTTTAAAAGCGAGTATAAAAATTTTCCAAGCACTTTAAGGCGGGGAAAGTTGTGAAAGTACACTAAGTATAAGTTAAAGTTCGGTTTGCAATTGAAAGCCTATTTTTGCTCAATTTATTAGCTTCAAGGAAGAAAGCAATGCGGGTAAGCGTTTCTAAAAATATAAATAAACTTGTTAATTATAAAATAAACACGGCCAGTAATTTGGCAAAAACAAAAAAAAAAAAAAATGAAAAAAAAAGAGAAAAAAAATTCAATTTGAATTTCAATCATTAAGGAATTGTAACTCGATGGCATTTGCTTGCCATAACTTTGTCAATTCCAAGCCCATTGTTGCAAAACTAATGAAAGAAAGGGTAGGAGCTAAGATATAATGCAGACATCGGCCTTAAAACTTGAATAAAGCAATCGATCGACAGACAGCAACTGGCAGTTTCGCACAGAGGACAAAACGATGAAATAAAATTGTCGCGCACTAGGCGTAACCGAGAAAATCGAACGACGAGCGCAATCGATTTTCTTGCGAACGCAAAGCCTTAATAATAATTCGGTGCATCGCGAGGGAGGAAATTAATAATATTGGCGAAGCTAAGGCAAGTCGACTCGCGAGAGCATCGTTTCGCGGATGATTTTGAAAAGCGCGTCATCGGGCGTAAGAGTGAAGGGCGCGCGAGCAAATTAACCCGGCTAATGAAAATTCATGTTACCTGATTAAGTTCAGGAGCGAGCGCTCCATTTCGCTTAGCTGGTTCTGGTGCGCGACAGATGACAGCTCGCAAATGAGTTTTGGCAGACAGGCCGTCTTGATTGTCGTCATCATCTTGGCGCGCCTCGTGATTGCTGCGAGCAGTAATGACAAATGAAATATTAAAACTTCGATTAGCGCGCCCACGCGCCTCGAGCACGAGGATTCGACATTTGTTTTAAGATTGGCTAAAGTCGTACGCGGCTCGTGCCAAATAAATAAATAAATATATATATATATATATATATATATATATATATATATGTATATGTATGTATCATATATGGGGTACTTGCGTGTCGGCATCGTAGTCACGTCTGCTTGTGAAGGTTAAAACGGTCTAGTAAGTCGAAAGTTTCATTCATTGTTACGTCGATAGAGCGAGTCTGGCTTCGACTTGCAAAAGTATAACTCAATTCCACTGGGATGATCGGATTTTCGAATATGACGAAATTTTACGCTCGGCGCAAACGCACACCTCGTTTTATCAGCAAAATAGTAGATTTTAAAAGTTTCTGATAAATTACTTATCCTATGATATCGTGCTCACTGAAATTAATCGAATGCTTTCCAATGGAAATGGGCATTTCCCATGAAACTTAGGCGAGTATTAATTAAGATTAGGCAGTGAACAGTGGCATTTCGTTTGATGCATTTGAATTTCAAATATAAGAATAAGAGGACGAGATTGCCTGGCGGTTTTTAGTCCCTTCGATTAAATAATAATTTTCTATGGCGTACCCGCTTATCAAGCTATTTACACAATTGTAATAATCATTGCCGTAGTCGACAAATTCATCCGTGCGATTGAAATTCGTATTACCGTGCAACAATGTCACTTAATTTTTTAATTTTGAATTTAAAATTTTGAATTTTTATTTTTCATTCATTCTTCTTATTCGAGCCACTGTATATCATTCCGTTGTGGAAAATCAAATAAATTGAAATTGCATTAAGTCTTCATTTGCATTTGCCATTTCATTGGAATCCGCGATCAATCCGTTTTTAAATCAAAATTATAATATATTTGCATAAATACATACTACTTTAAGTAATGAAGGCTTTAGTAAGCGCGTATTCGTTCCCGTTGCAATTCAGCTATTGTGACATTCCAAATTATTTCTCCGCTTGTATTTCAAATGCGAAACTCATCGCTCTATTTCGACAGCTTTATAAGGATCGCGAGCAAATACGTCTAAATCGGTAAGAACATTAGTCAACGAGGCTCTTGCATAGAATAAAACGTTTACACTTGTGTTACACTTTCACGCAATCTGCAAAAGCAAAAGCCGAAAGTAAGCAATAAATAATACATGTAGTTGTAAATACCAATGGAAATTATTTGTATTAATTGTATGATTAAAATCACTGATACTTCGTGTCCACTCGTTATTTATTATCGATTAGTGAATCGTCGTGAATGGAACAACAAAACAGAAAGACATAATAGAGAACAAAAAAATGATTTAAACGAATATAAATGAGCAGACCACTACATTATTACATAATTATTTATATGTTAACATTCTATGTATATTGTATTTTATCATTCAATTGGCGTAAGTGGATTGGATAGTAAGTTCTATATATATACGTATATATCGTCATTATTACAACTAATTATTGCAGTTAATCGATAATTGATTATTAGACAGATTTTATACAGAGTTGTATGTGTGATTGGAGTGATAATAAGAAGAGTTAGTAAGACAAACTTGTAATACAGTTTCTTAAGATAAAAATGTCACGACTGACGATAAAATATTCATTAATAAATGAAATTCATTATTATTGTCGAAGAAGCCTGAGTTTTATAAGCTTATGACATCGATATTAATTATTGATCTTGTATCGCTCAATCGAGTAAATCATCTTATTTAAAGTATATTTTGCAATGTTACAACTTTTTTATAAAATGAAATTTTATTCGTATTAATGATCAATCAATAATTTTCAACCAATTTTACGATATTCGTAATAGTATAAAGCAAATATTTTTCAATACTATTCTATGATGGAATAATTACTTCAACTTCAAGTTTATTGATAAAATATTCACTAATCTCATAATATCGAATATTATGATATTCGAATTCGAATATTATGATATCCGAACGAAGTAATAGCGAAATTTCATGTAACATCGTTCATTTTGTGTTATCTATAATGCTTGAATAACAATAAAAATTCTAAAACAACAAGAAGGTAAGCAGCGAGACAATTATTTCATTCGTTTACGAGCTGAAAATTGCGAAAAACGTTTAAAAATAATATAATACAATTATTTAAAATTTCAATGCTATTTGCCAATATTCGGGAAAAATGTAAAGATTAAATTTCAATTAATAATATGAAGAAACGCGTGCCGCATCAGAAACGCTAGTTTAACTTCAAGTAACAGAGCATCTGTCAAGATGCCTTCAAATTTCGTCTCAGTTTGTTCGTCTCACGAACTTCAAAATATGCCAGCGTCACTTAACATTTAAAATTATTATACTTTTATATTATGTGACTTAGTTGGAATTTTACGCGTTACTCGATGCTACAATATAGCATGGGTATGAAAATAATTTAACATAATTTGTTCAAACTTCACGATATCTATTACTTCGAGTATAAACGTTCAAATGACTCTTGCTAATAGTGACCTCGGTACGTGAGATCGCGTTTCACGTTTCTGCAAATATTAAGTTTATAATGAACGTATAAAGTTAAGGATATCACGTCTTGGTTGTGGATCATCGATGACTGCGATCGACCCGTCAACACAGCGTCAATAGTCCGCGACGACGATGATGTTAAAAGCGTAAAAATGCGCAAACTGCCGACGTGGGACAAAATCGTATAGGCCGCGAGCTGTCGCGATAAATCGGCTTCCCGTGCACCAGCTGCACCGTACGTCCGGGAGCGGCCGTCGTTCACCCGTCCGACAGTGCACTACGCCCGTAAATCGGTACCGAGTGTTTCGGGCAGCCGAGTCGCGTAGCCGTCAATGCGTCAGTCATGAGCCGCATGAAAATAATCGTCATCAGCAGCCGTTGACCGTCGCGACTCGCTCGTCCAAAGCCTCCGCGTCCGAGTACCATCCTACCGTTTTCCGTTTCCAGGCTCTTTTGCGTCGCGGCGTAGACCATCCAGTCGAGGTGGGGGCCCTTGTTAGGCGGACCCTCCGGCATCTTCTTCAGTGCCTCGGTCCGGTTGCCCTCGGCGCCGCTGCTCCAGAGCGACGTTATTAGCGTGCCGTGATCCCCGGCGAAGACCAGAAACATACCCAGGAGTATCACTAGGCGTACGGTGCTCGTGTCCAACATCCTTGAGCTACTCGTGCCTGGGGAGTGTAACGTCGTCTCGAATTAATTCCGGTCGGCGCACTGTGGCCGCGGTATTTGAGCTCGAGCCAACGCGGTCGCGCACTGTATTATGTAACGCTCGGCTCGATTTCACGTGGATTTTTCTGCTGTACTCGTGGGGTATCGATTTCGGGTCAAGCGAGTCGTTCGTTAACCGTTGCATCGTACGCAGAATGCCAATACTACGGTGAACCAGGAGCGACTGTATAAGTTTTTACGGGCTTAGCCGAGTTTTCATGTGACAACGAGAATCGAGCGTCAATGCAAGCATTATAATCCCTAATAGAATGCCCGCATGACGCACCCATACACACGCGCACCCACACGCTCACGCACACGCACACAAAAACAAAAATAAAAACAAAAACAAAAACAAGAGAAAATCAAGAGACGCTACTCGTAGCGCGTTATTCGAGAAAGACGTAAACATAACCTCGGCGAGTGTGGCCTAGGAGAAGTTACGCAAAGCTACAATTTTGTACGCTTACCTTTCTCTTTTCATCGCCCCATGATAAACGTGGTTTTTGTCAAGTCCCGTTTAATCGTAAAATCGCTCACCGTAGTGTAAAAGGGTCGCATCCAGCTAGCCACGCGAAATCCTCGTTCACCGTATTTCTTCGAAAGACGTCGACGTCCCGCCGCCTTGCTCGATTCGCGCACGGGGAAAGGAGTTTTCGGCTGGGTTGAGTTGGTGCTCGGCAGCGCGGTCGCGGACCGAGTAAGGAAAAGTGGCGCGCGATCACCTCGTGAAAAGCGCAGGTAAGAATTCGCAGGCTGGCCGCTTGTGGCTGGCCGGAGTTTGCCTCAGGAACCTTTCGAGTGGTACCGGCGCCGCTGGTATTGCGTGCTCCCGGCCGAAGCCTTCACTCTCACTCTCTTTCCACTTCCACTTTCTTTGGCTTCCTGTATTTCTCTCCGCTCACCTCGCGGCTACGGCCACGCCGCCAGCCGCCACTCGGCAATCCAAGGTCTCCGCAGCCGTCCGCGCACACCTCATCCATACACAAATTAATGAACTTTGCTCCTCGAACGCCCTGCTCTCGCAATTTATTTAACATTACGCATAATGGCCGATTCAAGGATTTCAATGGCACCTTAAACATAAAACGGCGAGCTAATCGTTTAATGGTACTCTTTGCGTCCAATTCCGTAGCTACGTTTAGCGCGCGTCGTGCGCTCTCTTTCGCAATGCCCCCCGTCCAAGCTCCTCGAAGCCTTTGGGAATGGGAAATGACAGCGCACCAGACATACAACTTTTCTTTGTCAGCTCGGTGCTGTTACAAAATGCGCAACCCAGTTGCGCTGGTACGCGACTACCACGGGCGTTTCCACGGTAACGCGCCTCGGCTCGCGGATATGCGAGGAAGCCAAGGATGCAAAAGGTTACGAGGTTAATGCGAAGACGCTGGGAAACTCCAGCGTACGTCCCCGGCTGGCTGCCTGCTTACTAGCGATAAGCTTTTCTCGCATTTATAATTGACGATGGCATAATCATAATAAGGCTGAAGAACGAAATTAACGGTCCCATTGCCATAATCCCATAAGAAAGAGAAAATCGTCCGCTGCCCCTCGCGCACCCGTGTTTGCGTCATCTTGGATTCGAAAAGAAAAAGTAGCAGCGGCACGTAACAACTTTTACTTTCGAGCGCTCGTTGGCGGGGCCCTCTTTAATCTTTTTGCATCATCCGTTAAGTGCACTGTCTAAGAATATTTACGACGGGGACCCGATTCGCAGCAACGAACCCAACGTCCTCGGAGCGCCACTCGGATCGGGACCTCGTGGCTACTGGAGACACGCTGGTGACAACCAAGGCGAGGTCGCGCTCGTCGACGGGAAGTATCGACGGTGTCGCGTTTGCGAGCGACGAGGCACCAGCACCAGCACCAGCACCAGCACCACCAGCACTACCACCACCACCACTGCCGCTACCACTGCCGTTAACACTGCCGTTACCACTGCCGCCATCACTGCTGCCACCACAACCACCACCACTACCAGTAGTAGCAGCAATAGCAGCAACAGCAGCAACCGCGGTAACAGCAGCAACAGCAGCAACAGCAGCAACAGTAGCAACAGCAACAGCAGCAACAGCAGCAGCAACAACGGCAACAGCGACTTTGGCTCACTTTTCCATTTCACTTTCTTCGGAAAGACCTTGGACGCGTGTCCTCGTACTCGCTGCCACGAGCGAACGTCTTGGCTGCCGTTGACCGGGAGCTTAGGCGTCGGCGATCTCGCGACTCCGCCGTCGAATGACTGCGAATGTATGCCCGGTGCCGTCTCGCCTCGTGCGGGCGGCTGCCCGGTGAAAGTCTCGACGAGCGGCCACCGCTCGGCCGCCGGATTATTCAAGAGTGCAGCCGAGAAAGGCGTCGCTGCTCGCCGTTTGATAAACGCCCGTATGGTTGAGATAGATCGGCATTTGCCCTGGCGATCGTTTTGCGTCCGTCTCGTAACGATAATCTCAAGTGATGAGAAAGAGCCGACGATCTCCTAAATTGGAGTAAAAAAATCCACTTTCGTAAATGACTGGATTCTCCGCTAGTTTGACGACACTTTCACTCTCCATTAACTTATATCTTCCATTGTGCATGATGCGGGTTTATAATTGAAGGAAGAGAATCGTTAAAATAAAATTAAATAATTATTGAATTATCGATGCCTTGAATATTTATTTTTAATGATTTTTTTTTTCTTTCTTTTTTTTTTGTCATATTAAAATATTTTAACTATTGCATTGATGTGGCAATGGCCGCGTATAGAAGTTTGCGAAGCTCGAGGCTCGTTATTTGCTGAGCAAGTAATTTATTAAGCTACCGTGATTCAGCTGTGTTTAAAAATATCGCGCTTCGATATTAGAATTTCAATCGAGCAATGCTTTTATTCTCTTAATAAACGTTATACTATGAATTTTGCGAAATACTGAAAATTATTGTACACGCGACTTTTTAATTGTCATGCTGACCTAATACGGCATCCCAATGCTATCGGCCAAGCAATAATTTTCATTATATTCAAATTCGTTGGACGGTAAAGTAAGTATTTTAATTAAAATTAATTATGAATGCTTTTAGAATAAGAGGCTGCTTAGAAAATGTTAAATAAATTACTACAATCAGATCATCTAAATAACGAGCGTTGAATAATTATGAAGAAAGATCCGATTACAATTGTACATATTATGTTATTGTTCTTTCAATTCAAGAATGAACTCTTTTGTTTCATCTTATATACCTTTTATAATCTTGAACTTTAATGTTTCGGAAAGAAATAATAACAATAATCAATAAATCGAACAACAATAAAAGCAATTGTGGTAATATTTTTAATAATATAGAGTTACATTTATGAATTGGACCGATAAGTGGTTTCGATTAATTTTTCTTTCTTTTCTTTTCTTCGCAATAATATATTATTAGATGTTAATGATCTTGTACGAGACTTGATTTCACATTATTAGTTCACTTTATTATTTAGAATAGTGCTACATTAAAATAAAATATCTTTATATAAAATAATCGGAAATATTTTTAGACCGAGACGAGTGCATTCAATACTATTTTTATTTATTTATTTATTATAAAAAGAAGAATAATCATTAGATAGCGTGGATTTCGAGAGAAATTTTTTTCATTTATAGCATTTGACAATTGTGCTGAGCCCCTGTTTAATAAATTTCACATACGTACTCATATTTATAAGCACCAGAATAAAGGATAACCAATAATATTTTTATTAACAGGTTGTTATTGTTAATCTTTTTAAAAATATTTTCAACTGAAAAGAAAGCTTATTGTATGCTAATATTAAACTACCCAATGAATGCCTTTTACATCGAATTGTTATATTTCAGAGGAATGGATTTGCATATTTCAAATATGTGATCTTTAGGATTTCTCGCTTCTTCGCTTCTCTCCAATACATAAAATACTACAGGAATTATGAGAAGAATATTTTGTCAACATAATACTCGAAATATTAAACGAATAAAAATGTGTTTTCGAAGAATAAGCAACGCTTGTTAAATAATTCTCAGATATAGATCATATTATTAATTTAACAAGTTCAATTGAGATTTTTAAAGAATTTTCACGAAGATAAATGTGTTTTGTTGGTTGTTTGTCATTGGTGGCCTTCATTACGCAATTGATTCCTTTCAGGCGGACTTTTGAACGGTTTTTTGACGTCAGTCGGGGACGCTCGTTGTATCCTGCACTCTGTCTCGTCTCGTGCCGCTTTTATTCGTATTTCGCAGAGAATTTATTGTAAAGCAAAATTTCCGTTAAACGCCTAAGGAAATTTCTTATAAAGACAAAAAAACCTCTTGCTCCACGATCCCACATTTAGTCCGTCAAACCCCCTACCTACCATCACGAATGAACCTGCCCATCGTCTATTAACCCCTTGCACCTGTGTTCCTCGGTTCCTTCGCCTCGTGTTAATACAGTTCACTTTGGCTGACAGGTCCGATGTCGTCTAAGGGCTATCGAGAGATCGGAAAGGCCAAGATCGTAATCGGCACGCAGTATCCCCTCGACACTTCGACTGTCGTTCCATCGTCGGCCGGTTCGTTGCCCGATTTTTTCGGGCGATCGATCGTACGCCCTGCAGAGCGCAGCGAGAGTGAAAGACATTTGACGACGAGATGAAAGACAAAGATATCGGGGATTCACTAGTCGGGTTGTGCCCCACGCTCACAATTGAAATCCAACTGCGTTGTTAGGTAAAGTTCTATTTAAAATCTCATTGTTCCTTTATGCGAGAAAGTTTCATTTTTCAAGCCATTTTGCCTATTGTTATTCTATCAATTTTTTTTCTTTCTTTTTTTAATATGAAGCTTTAACGAATGAACCTTACGTTCTCCTTCGCTTACAAGGCAGACTTCAAATCAATGTAATTATGATTCTGTAGTGGATCTTCATTACAATGTACTCGATGCATTTGACGTGTAGTGTACAGGTGGCCTATGTTATCTATTTCATTAGCCTCGTTTTTACTGAATAATTAATTAAGTTCGATAAATACGGTCAAATGTTTGCGCTGCGCGGTATATTGCGTCGGGGAACTAGAGCTGGAATTTCTAAATGTTGTAAGTGAATTATTGATATTTACTAATGTTGCGTAATGTTTCTCAGTTATTGGATTTGCAAATCATAACGTGTTTCTATAAAGAAGTCTTAATACTCTTGTTAAGAAGATTAAAATAATTATATGAACTGACAACGCAACAAAATATATTTAAGGCTTAATAATACGATTATATTTATGAAGAAGAAGAAAAAAAAAAGATTCGCAATTGTAATTACTAAAATTTAGCGATGAAAGTAAACAATAATTGACCAGTAAAAGGCAAATTTATGTAAAATCAATTTACAAAGATAAGGTTAATGTAATATTATGGATTTTCATTTTAATAGTAAAATTTTGTTGACGCATATTAAATACTTTAAATTTCATCAATACTTATGAAGAGAGTCGAAAATATTAATCTGTCAATTAACAAAGAGTACCATCCATTTCAGGACGTAATTTTATTATTTTGGAAAGGGTGTCAGCTGCAATGTGAGACGTTTTTCTTGCTGAATTTGTAAAATTCCTTCTATTATCGCCTTGCCTTGCGAGATATGTTGATACTGACACTGTAACAACAATAAATGATCGAGTATAATTGCTTCGAAAATCAATAAAAGTTATTATCAATGATACGCTTCTATACGTATGTATTTTAAAAGTATTCCGGTAATGGTCTAAATGCACTAAATTACACTTAAGAAACGAATTGAATTCCTTCGTAATGCGCATTAAATTATTTCGCTTAACGTAAAATATATAAGAATATAATCAGCGATTTTATTTATATGATATGCGTATAATTTTCTTCTTTTTTTTTATTATTATTAAAGAGTCATTTTCATCCGCCAATCGAAGTAGGAGTGAATATGATTAATATTTCCAGGATAAGAGCTAAATAATAAAAAAAAATTCGAGCAAAAGATGATATTGTGAAAACATTAATTATTGAATTTTGGAAATCGGAGATTTTCTATTTTTTTTTTTTTTTTTTTAGTATTTTTCAAATGTATAATTGAAAGCAAATAATATTTTATAATGATTAGCTGCATTTTACTGGTCTGTGTGCGAAGATATCAAGAAATGAATAAAAGAATAATTAAATGCCAGTAGAATTTATCATATTTATGGAATTTAGTGAGGCCCATAATTTACTGAGATCATTATTAAATATTATATATTTATGTATTTATGGATATGGCTTTCGATTGTTCAATAAATATTTATTCCGTAATATAAGCTTTGTTGTAGCAATTAACGCGTCATCGGTGCCAATACGAGATCACATAATGTATGAAATAAAAAAAATGTTGAAACTAGACAAACTATTTCGTCTATGATTTTGGGAACCTAAGAACAGCGATCGTCAACTTCCCTTGTTCAATATACAACAATGTTTATAAATAAGATTTCTATAAAATAATTTATTGATACTTTCAATATACATTCAAGCTTATTATATGAATGTAAATTTTATGTATTTGCTATGAATATCAACGAGCACATTGTACTAATTTATCGAAGCAAATAGACTTTCGCGTATAAATCGTTAACGACTTTTAATTATAAAGCTCAATTATTATTAAAATTAGATCGATCGTTAAGGTGAAAACATTAAAGAAACTAATCAGTTGTTATCAATCTGTTGAACGCTTAGTATTAAAGGTGCATTTTACAAAATAGCAAGTGCAAAAGCGATTTTTAGTTATACCATATAACGGATTTACAAGAATTATGAAAGACCTGTGAAATAGGAATGAATTATTATTCGCTATTGACTTTTTCAATGCAAAAGCAAATATTAATCATAAAACTAAAGATTTTTTGAAGATCTTGGTGATTAAAATCTCAATTTCTCGACAAAATATAGAATAAAGTTTTGGAAATATACGTATCGATTGATGGACATTTTAAGTAATGAACAATAATGTTTGCATTGATTGTATTTCATTAATTATGAGTATCAAAAGTAATTATACACGTTGATTGGGAATTACGGAAAGGGATAGGCATATAAAGTATATTATGTCATTTAACGAAAGATATCGTCGCTCCGAAGAATAGAAGTTGATCAAAAAGAAACTTTAATAATCTGATCTGCCCTATCGACCGAAGATGTAGAAATAAACGCTTACGTCACATATTGAGTGAACACTATTTCGGTATAACGAAAATGCAAATTAACCGAGCATATTCACTATCACACTACATTTCATCACACAATATTCTAAGAAAAGTCATATTTCTCCTTGAATTATTATACGTAAACGAGCGCATTAATTTATCGACGTAAAATAATTTATGCATCGCCGTATCAACTGATCTATACCCTCCCGATTAATCTTTCATAATTTTCAAGAGAGAGAGAGAGAGAGAGAGAGAGAGAGAGAGAGAGGCTTGCACTTTTTCAAGAAATATACGGCATCAGAAGCATTGGAAAGCGCTAATATTCACATTAGCCAGTCGCGTACTCGACATAAAGGCTCAATCGTAATTAATCCCCAAACCGTCTCAAACGCAGCGTTCGCAGTTAATTAGTTAATGAGAGGGTGCAAGGCTGCTTGACGGGACACCAAGTCCTAACGTACCTTGGTAGGATGATTTGGTCGGCGAACTTCCCGCTGAGGCCTTATTACTTGGGTCCGACTTTCATAGACATAATATGCGAGGCTGGTGGCCGAGCAAAGACTCCAAACTTTCGTGGTGGCGGTTCGGGCGGTACCGTCGGTGGAAAAGACGGCTCTAGTATCTGAATGGGAAAGGTAAGGGCCCGAGTATCAGTATCCAAGTAATCGGAATCGCTCGTAGTTTTAACTAATTGCCGTGAGCCTCCACGCTCGAATGTATGTAAGGTGTATGTGTGTCGTATCGAGGCGCGGTGCTCATCGATTTTTGACAATTTTCCCAATTTTCACCTCGACCTATTATCGAGGCTCTTCCACTCCGATGCGAGCTTTTCATTACCGACTTCTGATTATAATCACGCGCTAGTTGTTATCGCAATGCATTGGAGCGGAACGTAAATATTTCAGGCACCGCAATGACCTCGTAGAACTTACTTCGGTACGAATCGAAAAGTGATGGATAAATGAAAAAAATCAATGCCAACTAGAAGTGATTTATCGCGCTACTTTAAATGCTTCGAATGACGTTTTTTCCTCTAAAGTAATATTAATTAACTATCTACTATGAGTTTAAATTAATTAATTAATAAATATAAAAAATTATAAAAAAAAAAATAGAAAAAACTTTGGTTGAATAGTAATAATAATAATAATAATAATAATAATAATAATAATAATAATAATAATAATATGTTCTTAAAATGTTTAATTTGTGAATAATATTTGTGATAATATAAAATGTTAATAATACCTTAACGTTTTGGAGTGAATCCGCCACTATATCAAGTTCTTTCCAATAATCGTCCTGCGCCAAAAACTTTGACGATTTTTCATTGACGTTTCTCAAAAATTGACACTGAAAATTATGTAGATTAAAAGAATTATTATTGAAAGTGCTATAAATCATTATCATCGTGAATTTCATTTATTAATTACCTTTTCAAAAAAAGTTTCAAGCTCATTTAGTTTAGTTATTGTTGATGTGAGATCCATGTTTACTCGGTTAATCTAGAATGTATATATATATATATATATATATATATGCGCATAAATAGTTGGAATATATCAACAGCAATATATCAACGCCAATAAATAGTACGCAATAAAAATTTTTTTGTTTACTTGATTTTTAAAGAGATATAAAGTGGATGAAATTATTAGAATATTTATTGTTAGGGGAAAAAATAAGAGTAGTTTGAGCACGTAGTAACTATGATCGAAAGGAGTATAAAATGTTTAGGTGATTTTTATTTAATTTTATTTACCTCGTGATCCAATTGCTTAATTGATTCCTTTTGATTTTCTTTCTATAATTAAAATTTGAAAAATTTAATAATCAAGGTGTGCAAATGAATTTGCAAATGAATTTGCAAATGAATATATATATATATATATATATATATATATATATATGTAGATGTAAAATAAACTAACCGCTTTAAGGATAACTTCTTCGTATTCAGAACGCTTATTTTTTATTTTGATCATGTCATCTAACCTCTGCATTAAGAAATTACGATTAATTATTCATTACTTATTTTCAAATGCAATAGCCACATAAAATCGAATGTTATCAAACTCACCAAATTGTTTTTTTCAACTGTTCTAAACATCTCCTTATTTTTTTGCTCTATCTTTAGGATAACCTATAAATAAAATCTACTATATTAAGTAGAATAAAGAAAGTCAGAAGAAAAAGGTCAGAAATATATCGATACTTACATTGTAAGCATACCAAATCGCAATGTAGAATAATATATACATACAAACACAAATAAAGGCATTATCGATGATATATGCACGGATGAATGACTGCAAAGAAAATAATTGAATAATTCAACTTTATAATTAATTTGTCACTAATTTAGAGAGAAATGAAAGCATGATAAATAGCTGTAGAAAACATATAATCAAATTTAATTAACGTAAATGAAAGTTATATAAATAAATGTGTGATTAGAAACTTATTTTTCATACGTTTTTATTGTAAATATCGATTATCTTGAGTAACGAATATGATTTTGATAGTCGGCTCATGTAATATGACTTACGACGAAACATTTTCAGTGATACGATACATCGATAATCATTTGGATTGAATCACTGTCAACGATATATTGTTTTACGTCTTGTATTGAAAAAAAAAGCTACTTATAAAATTATGTAAAGAGTATACGATAAATTTATTTGTAAACGATTGCACGAATATTGATGTAGAAACAATTGATGATCAATATTATGTTGTAAGCGTAATAAGTGGCTTAGTTTATTATATGTCATCAGTTAATTTTAAGTTACAATAATATGAATTTTAATTGGAATGATTAACTGACACGATGATATGACAATGCGATTATTTACTTAGCAATAAAATGTATTTTGTTAGAAAAGTGCCATTATGAAATAGTTTTTGTTGGAAGAATAGGACTTGGCTGCGAAAATAAACAAAACCAAATATTTAAATTTGTTTATATACATATATATATATATATATATATATGATAAATTTACTATTTTTTTAAAAATCATTATGATTTATTATATATGCGAATTAAACTATTATTACATCTATATGTTTTGGACGATTTTTATTACGTTATTAGTTTAAATTAAAATGGTCAAACGGACAATATTTGATGAAAAAAGTTTTTTGCTACTTGTTCAAATCTAAAGAGGCTCTGACATTTACAATAACTGTTTTTTTCAAAATCCTAAACGCGCGGATTCATTATAATTAATATTCTTATTACATTCTGTGTATGGACGAAAGTGACGTTTAGCATATTTTCATCTTATGTTTCATAATTCACATAAAGCTATGGCCAGTCTACTGATTTTTAAGCGGCTTCGACAAAATGATAAATAAATTAATATTAATAGACCAAGTAAATAATCGGTATGTATTTGAATGATCACCCGACAAATTTTTTTAAGAAACACTAAAGAAATCAGTAAGTAATCAAGCAGTAAGTAATCCTTCGTGTTCTAAGGATTTGATTTATCCATCTGTCTGTGATAAATTTCAGGAAAAGCTTTAGCACCCCTTCACCTTTTAGTATACACATTGTGCCAGGTAAAAAGTCCGGGCTCGCGTCAGAGAAAAACGGAGAAGAAAGATACTATCAAGTCTATTCGAAGGAAAAGCAAACTCCGAGCACGTAGGGGGTAAAAAGGAAAAGGTACTTCGCCCCGGGTATGAACTACTTGGCACAATTAGCGCTCAATCTTTGCGAGCATAAATCCTCGTGTCAGTGACGCAATCAGGTGGAGCGGATGCCTAGACCCGGGCTGGGGATCGCGGGGGTGGGCGAAGCGGTGTCACCCCGCTAATGAGGAACGTGAGCGACGAGCTCGTGACGTGTTCGCGATAAGCTCGCGATATGTACAGCTCCTGGTGCGCTTGGGAAGCCGTTAAATTTTTAATGACGATTTTGCACCTAAGTGCGCGCCATTTTTCAAACCCGCGGGATTAGGCGCGTCACGCGCATTAAGTTCTCTAGGGCGAGGTGCGAGCTGTTTAAAAGAATAATAGAAGTAATCGAGGCAGGATGATAGCGCAAAAAAGTGCATATTTCAATAGTGCGTGGGAGTGAATTAATATGAGATCTGGCAATCTTCGTTAGACTATTGGCTGGAAAGTTAGTTTGTTAGAAATTTGTAGTTGTTTCAAATGGACTGATCGACTGATGTTTCAAATTCCATTGAGAGGGGCTCTGATATATATAGATATATATATATATATATATATTATTTTTTTTTCTTATCGATCATTCAAAACTTAATGATATTTGGATTAATTATATCAAAGGCTAATAAAATTTCAAACAATTTCATATTTAATATTAGGAGAAAAAAGCATCTGTCAGTCTATCGATGCAAACTATATTTTAAAAAATATCCACTGGCGAGTTGTGGTGCTTTTAATACATGGAAAGCTTTTACGCGTACAATGAAAATTTTATTAAACGACATTATGCAATTTCTCATAAATTCGACGATTCGGAATTTTATAAATTAGTCAACGTATTTCGTAAAATGCATTGTATACACTTTATTAATGAATAAATCTTTGAGATGAATTAATCAAGTATTTCATGAAGTCTTATATAATTTTAACTTACTGAAAAATTATTGTTCACCTGCTCGATGCGTGGCAAAGACATTTGATTTTTTTTTTTTTTCGTTTTTGTTTTGTTTTTGTTAAAATAATAAAAACATTACATGAACAAATACATTTTAATTATGATGTAACAAGACCGTTGAGATAACGAATGTTTTTGTTTTGTTTTTTGTTTTAAATTGTATTTCAAATACATGCAATATGAGTTTGAAAATATAACGATAAAAATGCCTGAATCACAATGTTGTTCAATTATAACCATCATAAAAAGCAGCTTTGCATTTTTCCTTTAATCAAATAAATATTTATAAATGTCAAATATAGTTAATTGCCAAGCTCAAGAGCATCGAAAAATTCATTCAATTTGATATGGCAATTTCATATGGATTAGCTAAGATATAAAAATAAAGTAATACAAACAGGCAGAGTCACAACGACGATAATAATACCAATAACAACAATAATAATACAGCAATTTTTTAATTTAATCTACCTGATAAAATTAATATACAAGATATCATCCTATGGGATATTGAAAAGATACATAACCATATATATGGTTATCCAAGATTATATATAAATTTTATCTTTATGTAGATTTATACGATCATACTTATTATTATACAACCATGTTTGAAATTATTATGTTATATAATGACGTACCTATTCATCATTGCTTTTCCCGTAAGTGATCATAAATGATTCAATATAATCGTGTATAGTAATATAATATATCTCCTGATGTTTAAAGTGCATGATAAATAGTTTAAATACCGCGTTGTTTTTGTATTATTCAGAATTTTTTTACATTGGAATATAGACGTGGTTGATTTACAATAGTACAAAATAATTTAATTGATTGTCGTTATAAATATAAACACGTCATTTGTTTTTGCGTTCCAAAGTAGCGTCAATATTTGTCGCTCAGAACAACTCTTTAACGTAAAATAACGTCTCTATGGTAGAAAAAAAGAGTTTAGAAATTAAAAGCCGTCGTGAGTGTATTGAAAATAAACTGAGCTCGTTATATATATATATATATATTATTTTCCATTTCGGTTTGTGCAGTTGTGAAAATTTAGTCATCATAGTGGGAGTAGCATTTTCATAGCATTAGAATTCGCTCGGTTGTAGTATTTTGTTGAAATTAACAGAGAGTCAGAGAGAGAGAGAGAGAGAGAGAGACAGAGAGAGAGAGAGAGAGAGAGAGAGAGTCAGAGAGAGAGAGAGAGAGAGAGAGCCAGAGAGAGAGAGAGAGAGACAGAGAGAGAGAGAGAGAGTAATGACACGGAGTGGAGACGAGGAAGAAAGTGCAATGCAGATAAAAAGCGACGGTGGCGGTGGTAGCGCGTGGGTAAGGGTGGATGGGTAGTGGTGGTGGTGGTGGTAGCGATGTCGGCGGTGGCGGTGGCGAGGGAGGGGGAGAAGTGAGATAAGTAAGGATGAGGGTCTTCCGTATGACTACACATTTTATTGCATATCGCGTGCTCGTTTATAATATAATAATACATATGGAATAAGGATTCTCTCCATCCTGTGCCCCTCCCCGCACCACCGCGGAGTTAGCATCGCCGCCGCCGCCGCCGCCGTCGCTACCGTAGCACATTCGCCATTCTCCATTTCGCTGAATTTCGATAAAAGGAAAAGCAGTTGGGCGAGCGTCAGAGTGTGAGCAAAGGAGATAGCAATGCGTCTCTAGGCGATTGCCGCTCGTAAAGCAATTCGCCAGGGGTCTCCAGGTTATATTACGGACGTGCGAATGGTGCTCCAGTCGCGACAGCTTTAGCGCCGAACTTTATAATTTTACGAGGCTTAATCTCGAGTGCCGTCGCGATCCGCGCGCGCCTGATATCCATAAGACGCGCAATGATAAGTCTTCGGCTGGCTCGCGTTACGCATTAACTCGGACTAGACGGCGCGCGGGAATCGTTGTTGCGCGATCTTCGAAATTTCCTTACCCGGTGTATGGGGGGGGGGGAGGAGGATTGGAGAGGCAAGGAAGTCCGTTAAAGCGGGAGCCGCTCGGGCTTATTGAGCGCCGCGACTCGCCTGATATGGCTTTTATATATTTTAAATGATGAGACGCCGTAGATTGGCGAATGCCGTTATCCTCTCCGCCGCGTCCGCCACGACAATATGGTCGCTATGCCGGAAATTATTATTTTTAATGGCGCTCCCTCGTCTCTTGGCTTCTTTACCCCATTTTAGGAATTTCTACGTAGGCTTTGCACGCGCTCAGCGCCTGGCGACTTGGTTCGCCAAATTTTCATCGGACTGTGGATAATCTCCTAACCAAGAGCCAATTGTTTCAATGAATTTCTATAGGCTTTGGCCATCTTTTTTAAAAATTCTATTAATAATGGCAAGAGGTCGGTTAAGGCCATATTTTTTATTTATTTTCTTCTTCTTTCTTCTCTCTACATTTATGTATTTATTGAAGCTTATCTGATAGGAAATTGACTCGTTAGGAATAGTCATGTACAAGATCGAGGAAATGCTGAAATTCACAAGCTGTTATGACAATTTTCTACGCCTTTTCGATTTTTTCGATTTTTTCCTATCGACTTTTTAACTTTTTATCTGATATTGTACTTGACAGGTTGTTTTCTTTAGTTACGCGATTGCATTGGTAATTGTTCTATTAAGGAGGTGAATATTATTATCATTATTGTTGCCTCTAATATCCAAGGCTAATTTGTTAAAAAAATCTGCGGCATTAATATTATGTTAATCGACATTATAATTAAATGTTATTGATGTCATTAGTAGTAAGTACACATATATGAAATTTAAACTATCGACTATTATAATTGTAAATAATTACTACGATATTACGTGTACGATAAATTAAAGGTTATTTGAATATCTTTAAATTGAAAATTGGATATTTCTAATCCATAGGCCATATTGATTGTACACGTTTTAAACTTCAATAAAAAGTGTATACATACTTTGTAAATTATGCATGTCCATTGTTTACCCGCTTATAATAAAATATTAATATTGACTAAACGCATAGTCTATCAAAATCGCGTATGATGCGCTTTTTTATATTTTATT